TTAATTATATTATTAAATTATTAAACTATTAATTAACTTATTAATATAATTTTTTCATTAATTACTGGCAGAATAATATATATATATATATATTTATAATATATATATTTTTTTTAGATAGGATTAATACTTTATATTAAGATAAATAATGTCCGAGAAAAATATAATTGAATGGACACAAAAGGATGTGGCAAAGTGGCTTAGTGAAAGCGGACATGAAAAATTTGTTGATTTATTTTTTGATCAGGAAATTGATGGAAAGGTGCTCTTGACTTTGAAAGAAGATGATTTAAAATTAATATCCATGAACATAAAGAAAATTGGTGATATAAAGAGATTATATATTAGTATAAAACAATTACAAAGAGCTAATATGGCAGTATTGTTTGAATTAGGATATGTTGATATATTTCCTTCATCAAATTTTTTTAGTCATCATAAACATGAAGTAAGAAAGAAAATTTTAAATATTTAATTAAATATCTTTAAATATATATATTTTTTAAATAAAAAAAAGTGATAAATAAAATATTTCAAAGTCATATTATTTAGTACAAATACATATTTTTAACAGATGCCTAGTAGTGGTATAAATAATGAAGGTTCTATTGAACACGAATTTTATTCTGCATCTATGTCAGAAGATGGTCATGCATCACATTTGCCCCCTGAAATTTGGAAAGCTTTCATTAGTTTGGCATATTTATTTATTGTTACATGGATTACTGCCTTTGTAATGGTTATTGTTCATGATAGAGTGCCTGATATGAAAAAATATCCTCCGTTACCTGATATATTTTTAGATAATGTTCCACATATTCCTTGGGCATTTGATATGTGTGAAGTTACTGGAACTATACTTTTTGCAATATGGCTTATTGTTTTAATTTTTCACAAATACAGGTAAATTTAAAAATATTCATTAATTTTAAAAACATTCAATAAATTTTTATTTACAGATTTATTTTATTACGAAGATTTTTTGCTTTATCTGGTACAGTCTTCCTGTTAAGATGCGTTACAATGCTCATTACTTCCTTATCGGTACCAGGTGCACATTTACAATGTCAACCACGGAAGGTTCCTGAAGATTGGACAAAGTATAATTTGTTATTATATGAAAAATAACTGAAATTAAAAAAAATTATATTTATATTTTTTTTTGTAGTTCTGCATATGTAGAATTATATAATAAGATTGCTATGGCGTATGTTATATGGCGTGGTGCTGGTATGTCGATTCAAGGTGTTAGAACATGTGGCGATTATATGTTTAGTGGACATACTGTTGCATTAACTATGTTAAATTTTTTTATTACAGAATGTAAGTATTATAATATATATTTAAATATATTCTTATTATATTATTATTATATTATTATTTTATATTATTCTTATATTATTATTATATTATTCTTTTATTTACAGATACACCAAGACAATTATATTTCTTACATACTTTTACATGGATGCTCAATATGTTTGGTATATTTTTTATCTTAGCAGCACATGAACATTATTCTATTGATGTTTTTGTAGCTTTCTATATTACTTCTCGATTGTTTCTTTATTATCATACTCTAGCAAATAATCAGGCATTAATGCAACGTGATTCAAATAGAACTAGAATTTGGTTTCCATTATTTAGTTTTTTCGAGTCTTCTGTCGATGGTATCGTTCCAAATGAATATGAATCTCCATCTTTAATTATTTGTAATCTCGTATGTACGGGAAAAGATATATGGCATTTAGTACGATCTTCAATTTGCTTCCGTAAATCATGGCGTAATGTAAACAGCAGTGTTGATAGAAAAAATAGCACAAAAAAGGAACACTAGCCAATTTAATAAGTTATTTTAGTTTTATATTCATTTGATAATAGATTTTTGAAAATATTAATTTTGACAATTCTCTTTATATTATTTAACGAAATTAATTGTAGTTAATGTTCGATATGTTTGATTTGTTTAAATGTTTCTAATTATAATAATTTATTTGAATTAATATTTTCCAAAAAAAACCTAAAATATTTCTTGTACAATTATATTTCTTGTACAATTTATATTGAGTTTTTTTTTCATTATCTTTTTTTAAATTTGATTTTAGTTGATGCTTAAATTTGACTTCAAATATATTACTATTTTTTCTTTTTACTATTACTTAAAACTAGATTTCATTTTCTTTTTCATAAATAAATATATTATGAAAATTAAATATTTGAGTGAATTTTGTAAATAACAAAAATTTAAAATTAAGTGAATGTGATTATTAATTGTTTTTATTATAACTATTTATATATTTTTTTAATATAATTTAAATTCATGATTATATTTAAGATACTTTATTATAAATTTAAATTCCAAATTTATGAAAGTCATAATGAATTTTAAATAAATTACAAATAACAATACTAAAAATTGATTTGATACAAAAATCTGTGTATTTGTTTAATCTATAACTTTTGATATGTGTCTATAGAGAAATAAAAAATGGAACAGTACAGTACTACATAAAAATATAAGTATTGTATAGAAATACGAATAGTTTTTGCACCTTTGATTCATATATTTTTTACTAAAGTTAAGTATAAGAAAGAAATTTTATTCAAAGTAATAAAGGACAAATATGCACGACCAAAAAACAACAAATCATATGGCCATGATCAGACTATTTGTTAAGTCTTTGTAGTATATAAATATAAGTACATGTGTAATATAATACATGTAATTGAATACATTAATTATAATATTACTCTTTATGCAGTAAATTAAAATTGAGTATATATTGAACTTTTCGCGAAATTTTATCAATAAGAAATTATATATAAAATGATCCACAATATTTATATTTGTTAAAAATAGTATGTATTATTATTTAAATTTTCAAAAAAAATTTTTAATGTTATAATATCAAAAAATAATTAGCACAAAAATAGGAAAGAAATTATATATATTGATATTTGTAAATATGTGTATAATCATTGTTATATTCTACGATCATTTTATATTAAGTTATATGAAATTTTTTCGATATTGTTTTGTTATAAATACTTTTTATATATATTTCTTTTTTAATAAATAGATGCACATTCGATAAATATAATATCATATAATATGATTATATTATAATTACAAATATTTAATTAAAACAAGGATTTGTAAATATAATATTTAAATTATTTTTAAAATTAATATCTATATAAAAGGTGCTAATATTATCACAAATAAAAATATAATAATATCCTTCATAATACATTCTTTCTATAATATTCATTCTCCATATGAAACATATGTGAAACGT